CTTTGACAAGACGTGTCAAGAAAACCGCCCCACGATATATGCGGTGCTAGTTGAGAAAAACGGTTCGAATAATGACCGGGCCATGACATGATGTCATGCTGTCAAACATGTCAGCAGATTGGATTTGTGGAAATATTATTCTCTCTACGGTGGTATGTGGAACTTGTTTTGCAGAACCGGACACTATCCTTATGTTCAAAATCTTCTGTGGAATATTCGGAGGAGGAACCCGCCTTGCAATGCCGAAGACAAAACTGTGCGCCGGACTCATCGTCATTGAAGCCTGGTTCAGGGGCTACTGAGGGAGTCCTGGATTAGGGGGTCTCCGGACAGCCGGACTATATCCTTTGGTCAGACTGTTGGACTATGAAGATACAAGATTGAAGACTTTGTCCCGTGTCCGGATGGGACTTTCCTTGACGTAGAAGGCAAGCTTGGCAATACGGATATGTAGATCTCCTCCCTTGTAACCGACTTTATGTAACCCTAGCCCCCTTCGGTGTCTATATAAACCGGAAGGTTTAGTCCGTAGGACAACATACAATCATACCATAGGCTAGCTTCTAGGGTTTAGCCTCTACGATCTCGTGGTAGATCAACTCTTGTAATACTCATATCATCAAGAACAATCAAGCAGGACGTAGGGTATTACCTCCATCAAGAGGACCCGAACCTGGGTAAACATAGTGTCCCCTGCCTCCTGTTACCATCCGCCTTAGACACACAGTTCGGGACCCCCTACCCGAGATCCGCTGGTTTTGACACCGACAGGTATACTTGTCACGTATGTAATGCCTATATGAATCATGCCATGAAGAATCATATCATGACTATGCGCAACTTTGTCAATTGCCCATCAATAATTTGTTTACCCATCGATGATATGCTTATGAGAGAGATGCCTCTAGTGAATCTATGACCCCCGGACCCCCGGGTTCATTCTCCATTATTACTAAAAACCTACAAATCCTCGTTGTTTTTATTTGCTTTTATATTATATTATTTTATTTATATATACCACTATCAGATTTACTCATTGCAATTAGTGATAACAAGGATTGGCAACCCTCTTGCCTTCTGTGTGTGTGCTTGTGTGTGTGTGTGTGTGTGTGTGCAGGTATTGTCCATGTTGTTCTTGTGCCGTCTCATTCTGGTTCAATAAATCTTGGTTCTTAACTGAGGGAAATATTATTTGCTATTATACTGCATCACCCTTCCTCTTTGGAGAATCCCAACACTGGCACAAGTAGCACACGCCCAACTCATGTGCTTAATTGACCTTCATGCACTAAAAACACAAAGTTAAAGGAGCAAACTATCCCCCTTAATTGGCTTTTCTCACAATAATAACTATGTTGATTTTTTGGGGACCCCCACGTACGCCGCCCCTCTCCTCGACCCCCTCCATCCCGATCTCCTCCCTCTTGATCCATTCTAGGGCTTCGAGTCGCCGTCGCCCCTCTCCTCACCGTTACCGGAGCTCTACGGGGCAAAGCCCGAGTGGGGGACGATGGGGCGCCGAGTCCTTTCTTTGTTGCGGCTCCGGGATGCGGTTCCGATGGATATATGTGCGGGCATCTTGGACGTGTGCGTCGTCAGGCGTCGACCAACGCAGTGGTGAGGGCACCTCCGCCGTCGATGGCTCACCCAGGCAGGGTAGCGGTTCCGGGCGGTGGTGCGGCTCCGGTCGTGCGGTTTCCTGGCGGCAAACGTCACCCATGGGTGTGTTGGATGACGGAGGAGGTCGATCTGGTGGTCCAGCTGGGGATGGGCTCGAATTTCCCAGCGAAAGTCTGGCTCGTCCTCGACCAGCACCATCAACGGCGGCGCCTGTAGGCATCATTACATCATTAGAGGCGTTGTGGAGCAATTCATGTTCCCTTTGTGCCCCTGGGGAAACTCCGGATTCGGGCTTTCCAGATCTGATGATGGCGAAGTTCCTACGTCGTCACCCCCATGGGGGGGGTCATCTTTAGGGTTGTACATCGGCTGGAGGGACAAGTGGTTGGCTTGGTGCCTGGGCGGAGGTCTTTGTATGCTTCTCGTGCGGTGACCAAGGTGGAGCAGAATCTTAGCGGCAAGGTGCAGTGAGGTCTCGGCGCTGGATACCGTTTGATGGGAGCATGCATGAGGTTGGCGTTGTCCGGCATCATGGTCATGTCAACGACAAAAGGGTATTGGCAAGATCAGTGCATTGATTGCTCCTGACGATGGGACTGCAGAAGAAGGCGGCGAAGGATTCTACAGCGTGCGCATGCGGTGCATGCTGAGGGTTTGCTAGACGAGTTGGTGCTCCCGGCTAGCCAGCGGGCGGCTTGGTGAGGCCACCGGATTTCTTGCTGTGTGTGGCGCGAGATCAGGGCCCACCATCAATCTTGTAGGTAGGGAGATTGTTTTTATTAGGAAGGTGGCTTTGGATTGATCTATGTATTTATTTTGTAAGACCTTATTAAATAATACAATAAAGATGGTTGTGTGCATGGTTCGATGCGTAGGCCAGGTGTAATCCTTCTTTTGCGAAAACAAAACTATGTTGATTTTTAAAAGAAAGCCAAGATGCAAAATTCTCCATATGCCATTGTATTTTTTTCGTCAAGTTTAAACTCAAAATGAGTTGGGGTGTATGCATATAACTTTTTGCAAAACATATTAGCCTTTGCGCTTTCATTTTCTTTGAATACATTTTGTCGTTTCCTTTTTTTTCCTTTTTGAAATAAACCGAATTTCAGTCTCACGCTTCAGATGTTTTTGTGCAGTTCTGATAGTATATCCGCAAATTATACGTGAACCATATAAAACTCAGGAAAAGATATGTTGCATACAAAGCCATACCATAGAAAATAAATAAACGAAGCATACCAATGATTTAGTGGCAAGTGGCCATGTTCCACTTTATTGAAGTAACAAGCAAGCGCTTGTTCTTTCCGTGACAAGAGAGGAAACTACCCCCAAGTCAATTACTCGTGTTTGCGGCCCATTTTGTAACTTGTGGTTGAGGACCAGTCAATCTAATTATACCGCTTTTAAGTATACGCATGTTTTTATCGATAGCTTGTCATGAAACCCCAGAGTGGTCAGATGCCGAGTTTGTCAAATAGAGCCGTCAGATTTTTGCCCCGGTCCTGCGTTTCACATGAAACGGAATACTACTCCCAAATGTGAAATAAGTACTTGGTATGAAAAGGACAGGGGGAAACCAACCGCTTATTTTTCCTGTCCGCACCTGACATTTCCATTGCCCCGCCCCACCCTACCAATCTGAGGTCAACCGAGCCTATCCAGCAAGATCCAGCCCCCTTCGCAAGGCCAAAGCTGACCACCACCCCCCACCTCCACCAACCCCTCCTCCCTCCCTCCCTCAATTATTACAAGCTCTTAGCATTGTTAATCACTTCAGACCGATCCATCCGACCATCAGCTGTATTGTATTTGTTCGGTGGATGACAGCGGGGAGAGGTGCGATTCTGACTTCCCGAGGGGCGGCTGGATTCCAAGAAACCATATTCTTGTGCTGCTAGTGCTAGCTAGCTAGGGGCGACCGAGTTTCAGCCAGGGACTTGTAAACCGGTGGTCTCGAGGAGGTACCCGATCCCATGGCCGGCAAGGAAATCTACCACAAGATGAAGGACAAGGTAATCAGTTTGCGCTGTTTTGCGAGTTTAGCTAGGTAGATGCATCGTATGCTTGCTTTTCTTGTCCTTGGCCTTCCATTAAAGATGCGAGCTGGCGCTTGAGAGACCCGTGAAATGGCGGACGTGATTCACTTGTCGTGCTTAACTCCGAGCATGTCTTGGGAGATTGTAGAATGATGATAGTCAAGCGGTTAGTTTTGCTGGTCAACTATTTTTACTTTACCTTCTCCAGTGATGCAGATGGTTGTGAGTTGTCAAGTCTGGTTACCCGTAATGAGGCCTGGCTACCATGGATCTTTGTATTAGCTTTTCTTTGGTGGGGTGGGGGTTGGGCGGTGGGTTGAGCTATATAGTTGGTTTCTTTCCGAGAATCGGTATATGTAGGTTTCAATAGCTGGATGTATTAACTTAGGGAAAGGAATTTACTGTTCTAATGCTAAAATATCACCGTGGTAATACAAGTGCTAATCTGAATCAAGGTTGTTAGTTTTGCAAAAGAGATTGCAAATGTCTTCTCAAGTGTCGAGTGCTTTTTAAGTCAAATGCAATCAAGAACTACAAAAAGGCTTGAAGCAAAATCTATATGTCCCTCATGTATATGCACTAGTGCGCTACGTTTATGGATGTCTCATGTGTTGTCGTTGGCGAACAATATAAATTCCCTGTTTCTTGCTGATAGCCCTGGAATGAAGAAATTTGGAGGAAGCAAACCCTTTAGGAACAAGAGAAAACTAGTCGATATGTTGGTTATACAAGTATGGTAGGAGAGCACAATACAGTGGACAATATACACAGGCTTAGATTTTAATTGACACTCAGAGACACAGCCGCCATGTTTGCTGGTTTAGTATGACTTCTATTTTGTATTGGAAATCAAGACTAATTGCACTGGAGTGGATTATATTGTAAATATCTGCCATCTCTATTAAAAAATGATGCATGCTAGACGCCAAATCACGAATGTCGTTCTCCTACAGAAAAACGTGGAATTGCAGGTGAAAATCACATGAAAATGCAGTCCTGCAGGCCAAATCTTTTAAGTTTTATTTTTGTGCTTACTGGTTCCTAAATTGTGTTTGGTAATGAAGGCCGAATAATATGTTTTTCCCTACTAAACTAAATTTATGGAATTTATGAATAGCCGAGGAGTAGAGGAACATAACTTGGGAAATATATGTTATTATCTGAGAAACCTAGCAGTTGCGAACCAAACAAGAACTGTAGCTGGAAAATGCTTGATAATACATTTTTTTAATTAATTTTCAGAAATATTACGCCGAAATTCTTTAGGCCCTTCCTCAACCTACTTGACATGCTTGTGAGTTTTAAGAGTTTGCATATAAGGTTAAAAAAAATAGCTGCCTTGAAATGTTATGCACTACTGGGTGTCCAGACAGTTCTAGACAAATTCATTCTGGGGAACTATTTAGACAGGCTCATTTTGGGAAACTATCTTTTGTCTTTTTGTCTTGAAAGCTTCCTGTGAAGTTTACTCTTTTTAGTTGCCTTGAAATGTCTTTTTGTTGTGCTGGATGTCCAACAAAGTTGTAGTCATATATTTGCCTTGCTGAGTGTTGAGGTCATTATCAGCATAGCTTGGTTGACAATTGGTCTGGATGTTCTTACAGGTGAAAGATGCTTTTAGTTCATCAGGGCCAGAAACAGGGAAAGGCAAGACAAAATTGTCAGGCAGGCGTGTCAAGCATGGTTACCATCTTGTGAAGGGGAAATCAAATCATCCAATGGAGGACTACTTGGTGGCGGAGTATAGGCAAGTTGGGGAGCATGATTTGGGTTTGTTTGCAATATTTGATGGCCACCTGGGCCACACTGTTCCAGACTTTCTGCGTGCACATCTCTTTGATAACATCTTGAGCGAGGTAATGCTTCGATTCCACTTGCTTTAAATTTTTTGTGGGGTCAAAGTTCAGTAATTGCTGCCATGCCTATATGCTAAAATGTTACTGCTGAGAGTGTTCTGCTATCATATCTCAAATGTTTGGTTATGGTAGCTTCATCGGCATAAGGTGAAAAAGATGTAAAAGGAAACACTTTCCAATCAGTAATGTTGGCAATACGTTTTAATAAGGTTAGAATGTTTTTTTTTCGTCGGCTAAGAAGTGCATATATTTTGAATGTATGGTGTTTTTCTGCAATCTACTTGCAACTACCATACTAGAAACAGATAGAGCAATATAGGTAGCGACTTAATTCACAGCTTATGCCTATTTGGACGTAGTCAACTGAATTTACAGCCGTACTGATTATTGTATTGATATCTGCATACTCAGCCAGAATTCTTGAGTGACACGAAAAATGCTATCAGAAAAGCATATCTACTTACCGATGAGAAAATATTGGAAAAAGCAGCTGAGTTGGGAAGAGGAGGCTCTACGGCTGTTACCGCCATCTTAATAAGCAGTAACGATAGTGTGAAGCTAGTGGTCGCGAATATTGGAGATTCACGAGCAGTTATTAGCAAGAATGGTAAAGCAGAGCAGCTTTCAGTTGATCACGAGCCTAGCATGGAGCGAGAAATTATTGAGGAAAAAGGCGGATTTGTTTCGAACCTACCAGGTAACAACCATCTCTTGTCAATCCCTACCAACGCGTTGCTGTATGCCTGAAAAAGTATCTTCATTCGAGTTTAATGGTTCTGATTTATTTTTTCCCCTGAACCTTGTCTAGTGACATGCCCGGGATTTTTTAGTTATCTAGTAGCAACTGACAGTGGCGCTCATGTGATTCAGCTAATAGCAGTTTTCTTTTTGCTAGTAACTGTCACAAGCTTATGATCTATACTCTATTGAGGTTCAATTCCGAACATGTCTCATTTGCAGGAGATGTGCCACGAGTTGATGGGCAGCTGGCTGTTGCAAGAGCATTCGGAGACCGGAGCTTGAAAAAGCACCTCAGCTCTGAGCCACACGTGGCTGAGGAAGTTATCGATGAGAGTTCAGATTTTCTAATTCTAGCAAGTGATGGCTTATGGAAGGTGATGCCTATAAATCTCACACCAGTTATTCTTGATGGATTGGATCTAACTCATTGCATTATGTATCCAAGCTCAGTATAAACCAGTCTGTGTCCTCTGCCCTCTGTGCGGTCATCTATGGGGATATGCACGCACTATGTAATCTGTTTTTGAACATAGTGCAATAGTGTTTGTTCAAGCATGTATAGCACTTAGCCGGGCTTTCATGTTTAGCTTCATTCATTTTGCCATGGACCAAACTTATTTTCTGATTAGATTGATTATCAGTTCATGTATGGGTTGCTAAGTTGCATCTGGTGAGTTTACGATTTGCAAATGACACTAATGCAAACATGACACAAATTCAGGTGATGACCAACCAAGAGGCTGTTGATGAGATCAAGGACATCAGGGACGCACAGGCAGCTGCAAAGCATCTGACGGAGCAGGCGGTGAACAGGAAGAGCAAAGACGACATCTCCTGCGTCGTCGTAAACTTCCACTGCTAGCAGAGCTTGAAGCTGCTGCTAGCTTCTCAAGTGTACAATTTCTTTTGTGTCGGATTGGTTTTACGGTTTGCTGTTGATGGTCGGATATTGTGTTTAATCTTTTCTTGTTGGGAATAATCCACCACCCAAGGGGATCAAGGTTTGTAGAATATTGTTGTTTGTTCAAAGGCTATAATAAAAAGTGTTTCTCTTTTTACTATCATTTTAAGTTTTTTATTTTTTGCGACTTCCTTGGTTTCTGTTGGGCCCAGTTGGGTTTCGGGGTCCACCTACCCTTCCAGCTGCGTCTATGTAGTCATTTTGTCTGCACCGCGCAGGCATCAACTCAAGACAATGCACTCCTCTCAACTGACGCGGGTGCAGGCACCCCTTTGTCGGCTACGGTGGTCGTTCCGTTCATGTCACAACCTCTCCATCGACCAAACTCCATCCTCCTCGGCAGGCGATACCGCAAATCGACTCAAAGAAGCTCCTCGAGCTTGGTGTGAGTGCTTGAAGAAGACTCTTTGAGAAAGGGTTTCGAAATTGGGAAAATCGACATTAGTCTTTTTACCAAATGTGTTGATGCTGAACTCTTTTGTGTACTAAATTCATGTGTTGATTAGCAAAGAATTCGGTAACTTTTTTTCCCGAGGAATCGAGAGGATTACTACCTTTCATTTACGGGTAAATGCATATTAACAAGAGGTGGACTCGTCTTGAGGAAAATGGCTCCGAAAACCCGCATAAATAGAAAACAAAAATGAGCCAACTAGCGAATCCCCTTTGGTGGGTGGTAGTTACCGAAAGCCATTCCCCTCTGCTTGATGTCCTCAAGGGCCAGCCTAGCTACCTCGACGTAGGTCATACGAGTTCCTTTGAAGATGCGCCTATTCCTCTCCATCCAAAAAATTTCGTACCACTGTGCCGACACCGCTCCTCGCATGAGAACCAGGAAATCATGCCACCCCACCATTCCCCAATGCCAGAGGCATGCCACATGACGAGAACAACTCTCCCGTCCATCCCTGGATGCAGTTTCTATCCACCAAGAAGAAAGGGCAATCCTTGCACAGGTGGGGCGCCGTTTCGAGATGTTTAGGCAAAGATGACATCTAGTATCACTTCGAATTCTTTCACTTTTTTTTACTATTCATGTGGGTACATTTGAGCTAGAGTGTAGAAACTCCAGGTCACTCTTGATTGGGCTCTCTATCGCACGTCATTGCATTTCTTTCGTGTTGTTCTCGTTTGGTTGCCTACCACATGGCCGCTGTAGCATATTTTTTTATTTGTAAAAGGTAGCTTGGTTGTATGATAGATTTAAAAAAAATATAGATTGAAATTTTTCACGTATTTAAAATATATCCAGGATTTTTAAAATGTTCATGAACAAAAAAATATGCAGAAAATTATGAAAATGTTCATGGGTATATAAATTGTTATGAATTTAAAAAAAATTATCCATTAATTTAAAAAATATTCACAAATATGAAACTGTTCACGAATTTGAATAAATATTCGCTATTTTTGGAATTTTTTATATATTTAAAAGTATTTATACAAAATTTAAAACTAAGACCAAGGAAAAATGAAAAACGGAAAAACAGAAAAAATAAACATGAAACCGGCAAAACAGTCGAGAAACACAGGAAAAAGGGCGAAGAACCTTGCTAGAACGTTCTCGAAAACTCGCTCTGGCGGTGACAGGGGGCAGGCCCAGTACTGTGCAGGATGTGCGTTTTGAACCATTTACACATTATATTATGGAAATCGTTTATTTTCATCTGGCTGATAACAGCGACGCGTAAGTCGCCTCATCCTAGCGACGCGTGTCTCGCGTGGCGTGGACCTGGCAACCTTATCCTCCCCGCGTGCCCCTCGGCTCCCTCATCTCCTACCTCTGCAGAAGCAAATCCTCATCTCTTTCTCCGGACGCAGGATAAGCAAGCCGTCACCAGCCACTGGCCCGTCGTCGCGGCAGCTACCGCTGCATGAGCCAACCCAACCTGCTGCTGCAGGCACCACCAGCTGCCATCACCGCTCCACCTGCTTCTTCTCTTTTTTCTAGGCGCGACCAGTCCAACCACAGCAGCGCTGCGACCCCATGATCTCGCTGTCGAAGTGACGCTGCAACGCGAATCGGCGGGGAGCTGCAGTGCAGCAAGCGACATGTGACCCATGGAGCCGGAGCCGTCGGCGCTGCCTTGGACCAGGTCAGGCTGTAATGGAGCTTCGCCGGAGCCGTCGGCGCTGCGGTGGAGCTCCGGCAGGGCTGCAATGGAGCTCGACCGGAGTTGCAATGGAGCTTCGCCGGAGCCGTCGGCGCTGCCTTGGACCATGCCGGGCTGCAATGGAGCTCCGCCGGAGTTGCAATGGAGCATCGTCGGAGCCGTCGGCGCTGCCTTGGACCACGCGTGGGCTGCAGTGGAGCTCCGCCGGAGTTGCAATGGAGTTTTGCCGGAGCCGTCAGCGCTGCGGTGGAGCTCAGGCAGGGTTGCAATGCAGCTTCGCCGGAGCCGTCAGAGCTGTGTTGGAGCTCCGCCGGGGCTGCATTGGAGCTTGGCCGGAGTTGCAATGGAGCTTCGCCGGCGCGTCGGTGCTGCGTCGGAGCTCTGCTGGGGCCGCAATGGAGCTCGCCGGAATCAATCCGTGGTGCTGCGTTGGAGCTGTGTTGGAGCTGCGCTGGGACTGCAAGTCTGTAATGGTGCTGCGTTGACTCGCTGCTACCGTGGCGTCGTTGTAATTCAACGGCCACCAGTGCACCGATTGAACGGCTAAATAGGCGGATGATTTCTCTAAGAAATCATTATTTGTAGCAGCCCCCTTATATTATTCCTCGCCTTAAGCGCTAAATAGGATTTTCGCTGTTTAAAACCCTCCGGGCTCGCCATTCAGGCTTTTCCACGGTGTCGCGGCCACCACGGAAGAACCGCCCGGCCCAGAGCAGACTCACCCTGCATCCATCTATCTCCCCTAAAACCCTAAAAACACGAGAAGCCCTACTCTGCCTCCCCTCCCCCGAATTGCCGCCTCTCCTCTCCTCTCCTCCACCGGAGAGAGAAGCCAAGGAGGATGCCGCGGATCACTTCGGTGGAGAGCCCCGGCTGCCCGCCGCTCCGCGCCATCACCACCGACATCCTCGGCCTCATCAAAGGTACTGTCACCTTACCCGACTTCGCCGCCTCCCCTCCGCCGCCGCCTGCTGCTCACTGTTCCTTCTCCGTTTTAATCCCGGCGCAGTCGTCGAGGCCCGCGCTAGACCGGCGGGCGTCGCCAAGGTCGTCGAGACGTGGGGCGAACCCGACGCCTCCAGGGCCATCCTCGTCGCTTCACTCGCCGACCGAGCCGTCGACCCCGTCAGTCCCCTCTACAGCTCAGCTCTCTCCCGTAAGCCCTTGGTGAATCACGGCTGCTCATTCCTATAGTCACGATTGTCTATTTTGTTGCGTTTTGCAGGTTTTGGCTGTGGCAAGGAAGAACGGTGTGGTGAGTAACTGCTGCTGCTTCTCTGAGTTGGGACGCTTACCTTGTGCCTCTTTCAGTTGGTTGTTAATTCCAAAGGTTTCTGTGTAGGTTGAGTTGCTGAATCCATTGAATGGTGATGCTCTGGCTGTTGTCAAGTCCTCTAGGACAGACCAAACTGTCGGAGCTGTGGAAAATGATCCCCTAGTCGCCCTGCACCTCTTCAGAAAACATGCACCGGACTTAACCACGTAATTTTCACATGCTCATAATTTTCCCCATAATAGATATCTTACCACACGTCTACATCTGTAGTATTAAGTATCCATATATCAATGAAAAGTTCATCGCTCTTGTGCATTTTGGTGATATTGGCCAAATTGTATTTATATCTAGTTGCTCGTTGCAGGTTAGGTACATTTCTTGCTTGTACGGAGAAGGGCAAAGCAAGTGTGAGATCTGTTGCAAAAGAAAACACGGTATCTGACTCGGATGTTGGGCCATCAAGCACTTGGGAAGTGTGTAACAAGGGTACATTGCAGTTTTCATCTGTGGATGTTGGTGAAAACTATGCAATGTTTGGAGGGTGAGTTGACTATAACCTTTAGCATGCGATTACCGAATACTGTATGCTTAAGAAACTGCTGTTGGGCTGCATTCATTTTATTTACCAGCTTTTCTGTCTGAGATGTGAAAATCATTCAGGAAATTTGTAGTGTTTTTAACAGTTATTTGATTCATTTTAGGAATGGTATGGAAGTGAACTTGTGGGATATCACATCTTGTAGTAAGATGTGGTCTGCTAAATCTGTAAGTGCCAATCTGTTTTTTGACTTATTAGCTGACATCGCAGCAAACATTTATCTGTATTAATTTTATTTTGATCTCACAGCCCCGAGCTAACAACGTCGGTATATTTACCAAACCTTGGTTCACGGCTGGAACTTTCCTGTGCAAGGATGATCACCGTAAAATTGTAGCCTGCACAAATAATCATCAGGTACCATATCTCATCACTGTTGCTAACAGAATTCCGAGTTTAATCTTGTTTGCTCAATGTTTGTGTTGGAATTCAACAAATTTAACCAGTTCAGCTCTCTGACTGCAAGCCTGCTAGTTGATGGGGTTTTGTTATGATGTCTGTTGCATCTGTGTAGTCCCCCCATAGCTTGTAAATAATGATACCATTTCATTTGCTTAATTGGCGTGTTTGCACTTTCTTTTATGCTAGGCAGTGATTAGCTGTGGATGTTTGCTACTCCCTCCATCCATATATACAGGGCCTAATGCGTTTTTTGAGACTGTCTTTGACTATCGATAAGATTAACAGTATATGAGATGTATACTGTGAAAATTATATCATTGGAAGCTCCTTTCACCTACGAATGTGACGGTATGCTTTGTGTAACTTGCATGTCATACATTATTCCTCTAACATGTGGTCAAAATTAGCCTTGAAAAACGCATTAGGCCCTACTTACATGGATAGAGGGAGTAGGACCATTTGCATCTGTAATATATTATGCTGCACTGATGATGACCGCTCAACTTTACTACCACTAATGGTGTTTTCATTTTGTGTTTACCAGGTTCGCTTATATGATACTGCTTCGCAAAGAAGACCTGTTGTTTCAGTTGATTTTAGGGAGTCACCAATCAAGGCAGTTGTAGGGGATCCAGATGGACATACTGTCTATATTGGGACAGGAACAGGAGACCTCGCTTCCTTTGACATGAGAACAGGTACGATAAACAGATGGCGTGCAGTATCTTTCAATGCAACTGAGTATTTTAGGAACATGTGCCTTTTCTGTCTAGTGTTAAAGTGGCCTATGTGTCACAAGTCTACTCCTTTTTAATCATCAGATCCACTTCATGTTTGCTGTTTTGTATAGGTAATAATGGTATGGAGTACCTATATTGGTCCGTTTCTTTATTTTATTTTGTCTAATCGACAGATAGTTAGTGACATGCAGTTGCAGCTAATGGAAATGGTAGAGTTGAAATATTTATCAGCATTTCTACATGTTAGAGTCTGATGTATAATGTTTAACAGATTGGAGATTGCGTAGCACTTAGTTTATTATTAAATATAATGACATGGACAAATGATTATGGCTAATAACAACCCAAGGTACAATGTATGCGAGTATAACTTATTTTACAGTGTTGTGATTGGTGTGTACCTTTTTTTACAGGAAAACTACTCGGATGCTATGTTGGTAAATGCAGTGGAAGTATTAGATCGATAGTTAGGCATCCGGATCTGCCTTTGATAGCATCTTGTGGTGAGTTATAAATTTCCATTTATTTCAGATTGATTTATTTTGAATGCAACATATAGTTTTACGTTCCCTCAATTTTGTTGTGCACTTTTACTTTTTATTGGCTGTCTTTGTTTGTACTTCTTTGAACTAACTCGGGATATTATTTTGGTCTTTGTAGGATTGGACAGCTACTTGCGAATCTGGGATACAAATACAAGGCAGCCGCTTTCTGCGGTATGTCTAAAATTAATTTCACAGCATTCATATTAAGCTCGAAGCTTGTTGTTGCTCCTTGCAATTAATTGATGCTAATTTTTATTTATATTGCTCTAATTGTTTTCTGGTGCGTTTTGACATGTGTGTATGTAAATGAATTTATTATAGTGAGCATGAAGATATCATTGACTAGCCAAATATCTTATGACTTAATCTTGGGCTACTCTTTATTACTCCCTCCATATCAAACTATAAGATGCCTTTTAGGCTAAACTAGCCTGTAAAAACCTCTTATATTTTGGTACAGAGGTAGTACCTAAAAAACATATAATCCTATAATTGAGTGTGCAAGTTCATTTATACATGTCGGCGTATATGATAGATGATTTTTCGTTTCTATCTTGGCTAACCTTGTACTCTAGTTAATTGGCCTTTAGTGATTGCGCTACTGGTTATACACCATGGTTTTTCATTTTAAACTCTTCATGATCTAACACATGTTCATTGGTTGGTAACAGGTCTATCTCAAGCAGCACCTCACGACAGTGGTTATTGATTCACATTTCTCAGCTGAAGGTTCGTCTCTCACTCTCTCTCTGCGGGGAGTTTCTTATGTATTTCCAGTAGCTATTCTGTGTTATGTGCTCTGTTTTCCGTTGTTGTTGTGGTAAGTTATGTGAGAGTGGCAATTGTTTTTTTACATTCATGTTATCTCGAATGGTGCTTGCTGTAGGGGCAAAGTGCTTCCCTTTAGGACTGAAACATGTTGACTTGTTAAATTTCATTGGATGTGGAACTGATAATTATAGTTAAGAGCTTCTTTTTACTCGGAACACTTCTGAGTTCTGACCTGTAATCTTAAAATGGCGTACATCTTAACTGCATCTTGATGGATGCCTTGAGGTTTGAGGTACTGTGCTAACACTACTGTTGTGTCTAGAATCTGAGGAGACTAAATCCAAGCAGCCAGATTCTTCAATGGTGGCTGAAGCTGCAGTCAGAAGGGAAAAAAAGAAAAAGAAGAATGTATTGGTTGAAGAGGCTGAGGAAGGAACTCAAATGGTGGACCCTGATGACTGTGATGCTGAAGCAGTCAGAAAGGACAAGAAGAAGAAGAAGAAGAAGAAGAAGAAGAAGAAGAAAACTGTTATAGAGGATGATGAAGAAACGCAAATGGTCGACCTGGATGAAGACGATGCTGAAACAGTCAGAAAGGCAAAGAAGAAAAAGAAGAATAAAAGGGTTGCAGAGGATGAGGAAGGAACTCAGATGGCTGGCCTTAATGACAGTGATGCTGAGATCTATGCCCCAAAGAGAATAAAATCTGAATCTGGCGAAAGAAGCAAAGGCACGAAAAAGAAAAGCAAGAAGCAACAAGTTGCCTAGGACATTTGGTGTGCTGGAATTATTGACGTCTGACCACGGTGCTTGCCTTAGTGAATTTGTAAAAGAATGCTTTTTAAGTACAAGTTCATTCAAACTTGAACGGTATGGTTCATTTGTAGTTTTTCCTTGAAATATTACCTGCTGTTTACAATATTATGATAAGTGATTCGAAAATATTATCAAACTTGAACGGTATGGTTCATTTATACTATCTCATCTGACTCTGTGTCCTCATCTTGGTTAGTTTGTACCGAAGTAGCAATGGTCTAGTTTAGTGTGGACAACGTCAGTCCTGTTGGTGTAGTGAAATTAATGCAAGCTCCTGGACATTTGAAATTTGAACTATTTTTGGCTGAAATGTGTAGGATCTCTGCCAATTGATATAAGATAATAAGTATGTATGCAAGTGTTGGGTGAGCATATAAGATACGGAGTCATGTTGCAGACGAGGTTAAAAACCATTTCGATAATTTCATGAGACTAGTTGACCAAAATTGATTTTTACACAGTTCCCTTAAGGCTATACACTTCATCTCTCCATATGAACAGTGCTTTTTTCATATGAGCCTTTGCTCTCACCTGTATAAACTCGCATTAACTTGTCTCCATATGTAATCAGGGAAGGATTCTGTCAATCTTATTATGTGACAGCCAAGCCATATAATTTTCTGCAATCTTTCTTTGCTACCACAATCATGTGGCCGCCAAACAGCCCAACTGTGCTGGATAACTTGCTGAATCAAACAGCTTGAGATCGCCATCCCAGCTTTCAGCTAAGGCGATGTCATGATTCTCAACCCCAGGATCAGGGATGATGAATTCATCAAAGTTAGATAAGGTTTTCAACTGCGCGCTCAGTGACGCTATTGTTTTCTGGCAGTCTGCTAGTTTCCCCGCAGCACGAGCTAACTCTTTCTCCTGTACAAAGTGATGGCATTCCAGTTACTCATCAGAAAAACATAATCACTTAAAAAGTCCTCAACTTTTCATCACCGGACTTGGTTGTGATAGTTAAGAGATACCTTAAATTTACCTTTGTGATGTGCAGGTCTGTACTTGCCATAGGTTTCACTTCCATTGGTTTTGGCTGATGACCTGGAGCTCTGCTGCACAATTCCTGTTTCAAGTCATGGCATTGTGCGGCGAACTCCGACGATTCTGCTCTCTCTTTGAGAATTTGTTCCTCAAGCAAGTAAATCTTTCTGTGCGATTCCTCTGCTTCTTTCTCTTTGAGCTCTAACTGGCTCGTCATTTTGTTCTTCTGGGCTTCGGAAGCATCCAGTGCAGTTATGTAGGCTGATGACAAGTTCTTCTGCGTCTCCAATTTCATTTCCAACTGCCCGGCATTCTCCTTCAAGCTCTTGATTTCAGCTTGCGCCGACTTGAGTTGAGATTCCAGTTGTGCAATCAACGGCCCTTGTTTCTCCAGAGTCTCTTCAAGCGTGTTAACCTTCTCATTCAGGGCAAAGGCATCTGAATTGGCGGCCTGGAGTTGAGATCTGAGCTCATCTCTCTCTGCTTCCAGTGCTTGGAGATCACGGCACCGCTTTGCGGATTCAACAGACAATGCCTTATCTTGCTGCTCCAGGCCACGCACCTTCTTTTGGAATGACACGATTTCTTGTCCTGCCAGCTCCAGCTCAATCTCTGCACCCTTGATCTTTGCCTCCAGAGCATCGACGGCAGGGCATTTCTCTGTGAGCCTCCTCTCTAGCAGGGTGATCTTGTCGCTGTATTTTCTGGCGTCGGACTCGAGCTGAGCACGCAGCTCTTTCGTCTCCGACTCGAGCTCATCCATCTGCTGATATTTTGCCGCGAGCTCCAGCGTTAGCGCCTTCTCCGAGTCCAGCCGTTCCTCCAGGATGCGCCCCTTGTCCAGCAGGCTCGTGATCTCGCCATGGGCCAGCTCAAGTCTGCCCTCCAGATCGTTCCTCTTCCTCTCCGCGTCTTGCATTTCGGCCTCCATGGCATGCCTCTCTCCATTGACGAGATTTAGCTGCCTCTGCATCTCACATGATCTCTCCTCTGCTACCATTGCCCGATGGCGGCAAGCCCTCAGCTCGCGCTGGGCTTCGTGCAAGGCTTTGTCCTTCTCGGCCACCAGCTTCCTGGCCTTCTCCTCTAGCTTCACCAGCTGACCACCGGTGTCCTCGGCATAACTGCTGCTCCTCGAGACGGCGCCGTTGGCTGACGCAAGCTTCTCCATCTCAAGGAAGTCATCCATCACACCGATGTCGACTGCGGTTGCTAGGCTTGCACTCCTCGTCTCGGTCTTGTACTGGTCGAGCTCGGTGATGAGAGCCGATGCCCATGAGTCGGAGCAGTCCGACTGGCAGTCCGTCACCGACTCGGCACAGAGGGAGCTCGGGGTGCGCCGGAGGTCGCTGCTGAAGGAGGGTCTGCGTGCAGTGGCCTGCCAAAAACTCCAGAGACGTTAGCTTCCAACAAAGGAGGTCAAGAACCGTCCTCTTCACATCACATAATATGATGCCTCCAATGGCGCCAAAGCACACGAAGAAGGAAGGGTGTCATCACCTGCAGTTTTCTGCACTCGGCTTCGAGCTTGGCCGCCTTCCTGATGCTCTCGAGCTGCTGCTTGCTGGCCGCCTCGGCCGCCCTCCTGTTGAGCTCCTTCTCGATGGTCCTGAGCCCCAGTTCCTCCGTCTTGGCGAGCAGCTGCGCCTTGAGAGCCGAATTCTCCTTCTCCAAAGAGGCCAGCCTGGAGCTGGCATCGCCGTCACTGGTCACCGAGCGCTCCGACTTGGCTTCCAGCTTGGCCTTGAGCTCGACAATCCGCAGCTCTAGGTCGGTCTTGTCCGACTCCCACTGCCGAGACTGCAGTGCCAGCGCGCCCTGGACCTTTTGGTCCTGCTCTTCCTTGGCGCGCCGGAGCTGCCGGACGCATTCCTTGAGCGCGCCATCCAGCGTTGAGTTCTTGACAGTTGCAGCATTCAGCTGGGCTTTCAGCGATGCCATCTCGTTTTCGGCCTTCTCCCATCCTGGTACGAGAAATGCATGCACAATCTGCTTGTGAATAATGTTCAATCAAAGGCTACCTAGTAATTTTTGTGTGGTGCTTAATCTTGTTGTTCAGTCATGTTTAACTGCACTGCGTACCTAGAACAGCTTCTTCGGCAACTTTGGAATGCTGCTTGACGAGATCATCTTTCGCACGAATATCCGATACCACAGAGGACAGCCTCTCGCTCAGCACCTTGACTTTCACATTGCTGTTGTCCTGTGCTTCCTCGGATGCGACCTCGGGCGATTTCGGGGAACTCTTGAGGGTGGTATCCTAATCAAAGAGGAGATAGACAAGCAGAGTCAAAATTGTTGTCCCCACAGAAAAAAGAAGCAAACATTGGTTAGACTAACTTGGCTCATTTTTCAGCTTGTATGGAGAATGTTTAATGCATAAGCTCAAACTGTGGGCAGCCCGGCAATTGTTCCTCACTGTTGCATTAGAGTATTGGAGGGAGAAAGACAGCCTTGGTCAAAAGACTGCAAGCGAGGGCAGCAGCAGCAGCAGCAGCACAATCAAGTAGCAGTGGCGCACATGAAGAGAGCTGGAATCTTGATTGCTCTCTCTGCGCCAGCAAGCATTATGAGCCATTTGTGTTGGGCCAAAGGTGATGGTGCAGCACATGGAGTGGCCACCAGAAAATCTGCATCTTGCCCTTGTTGCAGCCATAATGTTGGCAGAGAAAAGAGAGTGCCAACTAACACATCATCCTTTCCTTGGTATGCATCCATGGATAGGTAAGGTAGGCTTGTCCTGTTAGCCACTCTGCTACAGGGACAATAGGACCCCTTACCATTCCCTTCCCTGCTTCAGTTGGAGGCCTACTAGAATTGCCATGAAGATTGGTCAATGTTGCCAACCAAAGCATCAAATGAGATTGAATCCTGCAGCCCATTATTGTCATGTGGCTGAGATCAATTGTGTGCCTCTACTAACATGGTAGAGCTACTGTTCGGTGGTCTACGGCGTGCATCCTAGTATTACCATTTACTACCAGAGAGGAGACTAAGACAAAAAAAAACATTTAAAAGAGAAATTAATATTCCAGAAAGAATGACAAGCAATCTGGCTCTCTTATACAGTATATGCTGATGAATTCTGATCCAGCATTGGGAATCTCTATTTAGCCCTATCCGTTACGTTATGTGACATCATCGATTTAAGAGTTGATGTTGCAACTTGGCGATAGATTAGAGGCCCTACAGATGTGTGATTGGATGAAACCTCACTCACATGTTTGCCATGCCACATGGCCTTGTCATTTTTCTCTGGGCGGCACATGTTGCATGATCTGTTAAGGAGGAGGCGTGTAGGACTCTCAAAGTCAATAAACACCCATCAACATGCCTGAACTGAACTTGCTCCACCGCAAAAGAAAAGGAAGATGTCTCAACATGCTTGTAAAACACTCCTTGACACTACACATGCATCGAATCTTTTTACTGTAGGCCAATTTCCTTTTCTTGCTCCTCTGACCCGTTAATACTTAGTTTGTTAAATCATGCAAGGCGAACAGCGAGAGAGTGCCGCAAAATCGCAGGAATGGACACCATCAACGTAGCGCAGGAAGAAGGATAACAAGAATCCGTTCTCACCTGTTCATCAGTTAAAGTCTCGGATGGGCAGGAGGCGGAGCTGTCGGTTTCGGTGGGGGCGGGGGCCTTGTCCGAGATGGACTTGCGGCGCCACGGCCAGCTCCGGCGATCCATTCCTCGAGTTAGCTAGCTCTCTACACCCTTGGGTTGAATGACGATGCTTATGCGCCCCTGTTCACTTCAGCAATCCACCCAAAAGTTTAGACAAGGAAAAGGGACAGATTGCAGTTTAGGCAGTATACTTGAAGAATAGAAACTTGAATCAATCCAATCCCAATGCATGCATATCAGCTCGATTAGGATGTTCAGTGTTGCGTCCATTCTGAATGAATTGGCAAGAAGCATGCGAATTCCAGCAATTCACTGATCCAAACACGCAACCACAAGGCAAGGACAAGAAAACCATCCATGGAGAAGAGATTAAACACCACACCACACCAGACCAGACCAGACCAGACGACTAAGAAGAAGAAGAAGAAGAAGAAGAAGAAGAAGAAGAAGAAGAAGAAGAAGAAGAAGAAGACAAATACTGCATCACTTGATGATAGATAGTACCAAAAGAAGCCGAGTTCATCAAGAAACAACACAATTCAAAACTACTACCTCCTGCTCTCGATCCGCTCCGCCGCAAATCACCGAGGTGGAGAGAGGAAAGTCCAGGCGAAGAAATCGACGAGAGAAGAGAAGCAAGGAATGGAGGACGGCACGGCAGCAAGACCCAGGAAGTAAGCCCCAAGAAGCGCGCCCCTTCTCCTTGCTCTTGGACCCAAGCAGGCGAGGCGAGCCTATGGTGGCATGTCGTCCGCAGTTTGCGCCCAAGATTCTCTACTCCTACCTGGGCCTAGCTAATAGCCTATATATAGAGTATTTAATAATCAAAATACGTACGTACGTACAAATGGGGAATAGACGATGCAAGAAAGAAGCATGGTGTGTGTGTGTGTGTGTGGCCTGGCCGTTCCGTGGGGGAGAAACGGAGGCTTGGTTTCGTCGGAATGTTTAACTCTAGCTTTCTTGTGATAATGGCAATGGGATTGATCGTGCTGCCAGTCGTGCTAACGACTAGTACGCCATAACCACTAACCGCTGAGCTTAATTCGATTACAACGGAATGGATGGCACGTTCATATCATCGTACC